CTTCATTAAAAAAGTAGTTTTAAAAGTATTATATGAAAGATAAAAAAATACTACATGAAATATTAATAAGTTTTGTAATAGAATTTTATTAAGAATTTTGTTTATTTATTAAATTTTTTGTGTTTGGTAAGATTTTAGCATAAAAAAATTAGTAAAAAAATTATTAAATGAGTTTCACATAAAAAAAAAAAGATAAAAAATTTTTTTCTCTTCAAAAAATATGAGAAGAAAAATTTATTAGTTAAAAATTGTATCTAAAATAATAAAGAGCTAAAAATCTCAATTTTATCTTTATTTTTAATCATAAAATTAATGTATAAAATATGTAAATAATTTTATAAAGCAAATAATTAAAGGAAAACTTTCTTCCTCGACCAAACGTTCTCTAAGAGCAATGCTTGATAAAAAGGCTCCTTATTAATGAAACAATGACGTAGCAAGGTTCAATGTGACAAATGAAACATTAGAGAGGAAACTGAGGCATCGTAAAAAGGTTAGGGACACATAAGGACTTTCCCCTTTTTGGTGATTAAAGCTTGTTTGACCGACGAATAGGTAGTACTTGATCGTGGAGTATTTTTTTTTTTTTAACATATTGCAACTGGAGGATGGAAAAAAGGTTTATAGGTTGATTGGGGAATGAAAAATGATTTTTATGGAACTCAATCGTGCAATTTATAAACAACGATAGGTTGGATCAAGTGGTAAGCGATTTGTTTCAGTTTAAGCAAAACCTTGAGTTTGACTCTTTGCGTACGCAGCAATTTTTGTTGGGAGACTCACCAAACATTTCTAGGTGCAGGACCCCGATCGGGTCCGAATTAGTCAGGGCAAAGCCTCAAATACCGGACGGGAAACTAAAAAAAAAAAAGGTGCAATTTATAGAAAGTAAACAGTTTTAACTTCAACATGTAATTTATAAAAGGTAAACAGTTCTAAATTAATGTGCAATTTTAAAGCCGATCATTTGCTTTGCTCATAGAGTATTTATAATGATAAAATTAAGAGATTTGTTGACCAAGAAAGTGATGTCAGTTCCACTAAAACATAAATTGGAGTCTGCATTCAATAATGCCCCTTGCGCATTTAAACTACGTACCAATATAGTTGCCTTATGATATATACAACGAAATTCTGTTTGGGATGCGTAAAATAGTTAATCATTAATGAAGAGATAGGCTTAAGGGAATTACACATATGAACAAAAAAATAAGAGACCCACTCTTTTTAATTAATAGTGAAGTGAAATATAGTTCTTCGTAGAGGTAATTTCATTTCATTTTTTTATGTATTGATTCTGGCAATTTTAAAAGTATCATATCATGTTATATTTAGATTTATTATATAATACATGATATAATAAATCTTTTTTATAAGATAGGATTAGTGATTCCACCAATGCAATGAAAGGGGTAAAGATGAAATTTCAAAGGTTTAAACACTTGTAAATAGGTGAAGAAATTTTTTATATTTAGAGATTTGATTAATAAATTTAAAGACTTTTCTCGATATATAATGTAATATTAAAAAACTATATATAATATTATGGTAGTCCCCAAATAAGAAGATTTTTACTAATAGAATTTAAAGTCAAATTGTATATAATATACTATGGCATTAACAAGATGATTGAGCTCAATTAATTCTGTGAGGAAATGTTACCCTATTGCCAGCTTCTCCTTTTTGTTTTTGTTTTTTTTTTTTTCTGCTTGGAAAGCTTACTAGGATTTATTACCCTTCGTAGCAAAAATCATCCAATTATTCAGAATAAGCATGTTCCCCAGCCAGGGTTTTTCAATGACTGGTAAACCTGGAACACAGACCATCTGTCCTCTGGCTGGGTAACAACACAATTCATTGCAATTTTGAGGAATAGCAAAATATCCTCATCGTGCCCCTTCCCGGAAATGGCCTTGTCAGTTGCATCCTTGATTCTACCAAAACCAGAAAGATGATTCACCCAATCCACTAAATTACCCTTGAATCCTTCTTCAGAAGTTTCAACTTCTAGAGGCTTTTGCCCTGTTTCCAACTCCAAAAGCACCACTCCTAATCCGTATCCATCATCTTTGAGTGATGGAACCATAGTGCTTGAATACTCTGGATCTATGGTCCGAGATTCACCCAATTCTCCATTCACACAACTACTCTCATCCGAGGAAGTCACGAGTCTGGCCAATCCAACATCCATTATCCTAGCATCGAAATCCTCATCGACGAGAATCAGCTTAGAGCAGATGTTCTGATGGATAAGAGGCAGCTGGTTGCCGTGGTGCAGCCAAGCTACACCCCTGACTGCACCAAGACCAATGGAAAACCTAGTTGGCCAATCCAATATCTCACCGCTTCTATGTAGAAGGGAATACAGAGTCCCATTACACATGTTCTTATAAACCAGGAGTTTTTCATCCTCCACAAGACAAAAGCCGAAAAGAGGTGCCAAATTGGGGTGCCGGGCTGCCCCAATCGAAACTGCTTCAGTGCTTCTTCCTGAGCATGCGCAACTATTCAGCCCCTTAATCACCAGCGCCGACCCATCAGGAAGCACTGCCTTGTAGGTCCTCCCTGTTCTCGTTAAGATCGATTAAGATGTTCTCTGCATGGAAATTGTTGGTCGTTGTCATTAAATCCGCCAAATTTACTTTGACATACGGTTTCTGAAATAAGGAAACTTGGGTGAGCTTGTGAGCTCTCAACCTCTCTACCCAGCTGTTTTCATCGCCTCTTCCAATCGTATACCTTC